AAAATGCTGTAGCACTTTAGCACTAGGTAAATAGCTAGCTGCCATGTATTAGGCAGGTTCTAGGGTATCTAGGATAACAGTAGGCAAGTCACGGCATAACACTTTTGTAGCCTTGAAAACATTCCTACCAACGTTAATAATCAAAATACCTCCATGATACAGATAAAACTAATGAGCCAGACAAGCGTGTTTGTCCAGGTTTTTAGAGAGAACCAGTGTCAAGTTCTCATCTCTTAGGGATGTGCTCAGAGCCTCCTGCCAACTCTTTTCTTTCTCTAGCAGAAATTTATTAACAAAATACGATTATAACCAAGTCTCTGATCTTGAACTGCTTTATAATAAAAGCCAGGATTTTTACACCTATCCAAAATTACCCCCAATAATGCTCTTTTGCCAACTTTCAAGGGCGTGAGGGGTGAAATATAGTGAAATATGCTGTGATAACATTTTCTCTGTTCATGTGTTTTTCAGTGTCCAAGGATGTAGATGCACATCTGTCAGGAATGTTGTGTAATAATTTGACTTAGTTTTAAGCATCTCTATAGTAGAGATTGCCAAGCAGCCAGAACTTTAAATTGGCCAAGTAGCTCATTCCCCTTATTATTTCTTTTTCCCATAAGTCTCAGTTAAAGGTATGTTAGAAATTAGAAGAATTACCCAAGAATCATCCAGTTTAGCTACTGTCCTGGTTATCACCTGAAGGTTTTTTTTCTGGTCTGCTATGTCAGCAGAGAAAAGATGTCTTCTCCCAGTTTGTTTTTCAGCTGTGCATATTCACGGGACAGACCTGAGTTTAGGAATATTTATACAGTAGTATTTGCCTACAGGAATAGCCAGAGCAGCTGAAAATGTCAGAAACTGCAATCAGTTGTGTGAAGAGGCAAAACGTATACATTTGATTCTTATCTGTCAGTTCCCATGCAATGTTGCTTGTAATGTTGGTTGTCTTTAGAAATACATGTAATATTTGTAATTGCTGTGTTATCAGTTCCTAGGCATGTATTTAATTCTCCTCTGCTTCACACTACTCGTACTTAATTATTAGGGCTGTGATTGCAGACACATTAATATAGTGGAAATTCAGAAGTTAAGGTGGATATGAAACTCACAGTGCTGTGGGTGGCTGAACAGCTGCAGTGTTGCTCACTTTTTAAGACAGTTGAGCTAAAACAATTTAAAATTAATTTATAATTTAAAACTCAGAAGAGTTTGTGTGGCATTTGGATGACCAGGTGCATCCACTTTTCCACATTGAGTTTTGAGGCCTGAATTTTTACTTAACTTGCACAAAACAGGAGGTTTTATTTTGCCTCCCACAAGTGAAATATTTCAGAAATATACAAGCAAGATATAAGACTCTGCTACATGATTTTTGCTTCTGCTATACTTGCTATGCTGTTGTAGTGTGCTCTCTAACCTCTGCAGTTGCAGATCAGTGTCCTGATTTGAAGGTGCTTCTCTAACAGTAATTCCCCCCTCCGTCCCCTTCTGTCCCCCTTGCTTTGGCTATCAAGGTGTAATTTTAATTTGCATTAGAAAATCAAATGTTTTCTGTGTGTTTAAATGTATTAAGAAGTAGGATCTTTTGGAAATTTCTCTGTAAAAAGACTCTTTGGTCGTGGACAATCTCTACTGTTGGAGATAATATGGAGATAATATTAATCCTTATTTAATAAGGCCTATGTTCCTTTTCACTTCTGCTGTGGTCAAGCTAACATTCTCTGGACAAAACAGTGTCTGGTGGCACTGTAAATTCTTTGGAGACGGTAATGTCAGAAAAAAGAATGTGTGTGTAATACTTAGTACCATGGGACTTGATACCATTTAAATACTTCTAACAAAATGTCCACCCAAATAGTTAATGAAACAAAAGAGATCCGAAAGGCTTTCTATTTGAACGGGCTCCATAGAAATACCACATATTTAACATAGCATAGATCAGTTTTGAATACAACCCTTTTACTATTTTGAAGATCCTCCCTTTCTGCTTGAAGTTGATGCTTTTCATGTTGTCCTGATTTTGACCTGTTTTCTAACCAGAAATAATCAATGTAGCCCTGAGACCACTGTTCCTGGGGTAATCCTTGATGAAGAGAATGAGAAAACCATCACAGACTATGGACTGCTTTTGTTCCCAGGTAGCTTTTTAAAATAGCTGTCTGGGAACTCTCTCACATTTGATGTACTCTGCAGTAGTTCCAGTGAGGTAGTTGACAGTCTCACCTTTCCTTCATGCTGTTTGCCATTCTACCTAGTTAATCTTTAAAAGATTATTTGTTGGAATATATATCTAGCAAAGCAGCATGGTAGAAGAGGAGGTATAAGCTATACATTAGATTTCTGTACCCCATGGTTGATTTTAAGAAAACATTTGCTTGCTTGATTATATATATTTTTTTTTTCACTCTTCAGGAAGTAAAACAACATTTTTAGGCATAAAATTTCCAACATAAAGACATGGACCTGTTGGAGTGAGTCCAGAGGAAGCCACAAAGGTGCTCAGACAGCTGGAGCAGCTCTGCTCTGGAGACAGGCTGAGAGAGCTGGGCTCGTTCAGCCTGGAGAAGAGAAGGGTCCGGGAAAACCTTAGAGCAGCTTCCAGTGTCTAAAGGGGCCAACAAGAAATGTGGAGAGGGGCTTTTGAGAAGGGCCTGTAGGGACAGGACAAGGGGGAATGGCTTTAACCTGACAGAGGGGAGACTGAGATGAGATCAGGCAGAAGTTCTTCCCTGTGAAGGTGTTGAAGCACTGGCACAGGTTGCCCAGAGAAGCTGTGGCTGCCCCATCCCTGGCAGTGTTCAAGGCCAGGTTCTGTAATTCTTTGATAATGTAAAATATCAAATACTGGTTTAGGTATCCCGTTATTTTTATTTAGTAAAGGTGCTAAAATCCAGTAGATTTATAAATTTTGAAAATGAATGCTTTTTGCAGTGCCTTCTAAGGATTGCTGATGTAGTGTTCCCTTAACAGAAAAGAATCTTGAAAAGATTAAGAACTGTTGCTGTGCTTACCTAAGGGGTCAATGGAGGAATGCAGCTGTCTAAGTTGTCTGGTCGCCTGGGACTGTCACCTTCTCAGCTTGGACAACAGTTTTGCTGTGTCCCGAGAAGCAAGCAGAAGTTTCAAGCACATGAAACACTCTTCCTGAAAACTGTTTTTTTGTTTTTTATTTTGCAACATCTGAAGTCAGAAAATCTGCATAAGTTTGGTGATAGACATCTCCTTTGCTTTGCTGTCAAGAATGGGCTCTCCCTCCTCCCTTTTCTCCACATGGTTTTTGAGCTCTGAGTTAATGTTTCTTTCCTTCTTCCCAAGCCTTTCCTCAAAGTTTGTTAGTGCAGATGATGCTGTAGTTATCAAACCTCGTCAGCTAACACTGACTGGGAGAAGCATTCTTGATGAATGATGTTGTCCTTCCCTGAGTCCGCAACAAGTGTTTGTGAGCTCTGCAGCAAACTGGTCTGGTTGTTAACTTTGGCTGATGGCTTTATTTCTGTTGAGTTCATTTTTGTTTGGATCAGCTCTTTAATGTGGTTTGCAACACCCAACCATGCTGTGCTTGCATGTGAGAAGACGTGATACAGAAGTGAGAACAAGTAGCCCATGGCAAGGTGAAGTGCAGCACCCCTTCGTTCAGGAGCTGCTGTGACTTGAGGTAGTTCAAAGTGCACATTAAAGTGTGTCCTTGGGGCTGTGTAGCAAACTTGTTTGGGGGATATTATAACGCTGCTTTCCTAGATCCTTTCCTTGCAGCCCAAGCACTATTTCTTTTCAGAGCTTCCGAAATAAGTATTTGGAAACTAAGCTCTGATTTCCAAATACGCAAGCGAATGGCACAGTACAGTTCCCAAAAGGAATGTGAATTTGGTTTTGATGTGCAATAGGTTCGAATTCTAAGTCTCCAGACCTCCATATGCATGTCTAGATGTGAATTATTCCTAGAAGAAAATTCTTGTGAGGATTTGAATTTCTGTTATTATTGGTGGGCTCAAAAGGTATGTCCCACATTGGCCATTTTTATTCTATTTGAGCTGTAGGAGTTACCACCTCCTGCTGGTGTTTGCTGATCTGGATGAAATGCTACGAGTGACTTTTATTCTGGTTTCTTGTTTTGGAGTGTGGCTAAATGGTAAAAACTCCTTGTCAGTTTTCAATCTGCACAGCATCAATTTAATCACAGGCTAGGAAAGACACATACTCATACTGCTCTTTCTGTGCTGAAGCATGCAGGGGTGAATCTGAAAAAAATGCATTATGCAACTAAATGTTTTACTGAGTGTCCTGTTTTGTACCGATAAAAGAAGTTGCAAGAAAGATGACACTGAAGATGTCATTTGTCTTTCAAATATGCTTGTTGTTGTTTGGCACCCTTTCCACTAGCAGTGAAACTTTGCAGTGGGGAGGAATAGAGGTGAGAAAAGAACAGCAATCCTACTGCCTTAGAATTAGCTTTGCATTAACTTTGGCCAGATGAGAAATACTTGCTGTGGTTGTAACTTGCTTTCTTGCTGGGATGTGTGGAGTAAATCATTAATGTAATTTGTTTACAAAATACTCAAGTGTTCGGTTAGCCTATGTCATTTATTCTGTGGGGCTCATGTGCGAAAAGTACATCTAATGCACTGATACAGCTAGTGGGAAGTTTGGCTGGGCTGAGGAATGCTATATAACATGATGAAATATTTGGTACTACACCTACCAAATTTATTGGTTTTTTTATGATTCTAGTTAGAGATTGCTGTGTTCCATATTAGTTTAGGAGGCTTGGGAAAAGATGCTGTATTTATGAAATAAGAGTGCGAGCACAAGTAGCTGGTTGAGAAGAACTGATTAGGAATAACTCAACTCAAACAAGTCTACATTTTGATGAAAGTTTCATGTCCTTGTTTCAAGGAAATCTCTTCTTATAGTGACAGTGGCTGTTCGCAGCCTGCTGTGGTGTGTTGAAGCATTCACCACAGTAAGAAAGGAAATGATACCCAGAATGGTTTTCTCCCCAGGTGCTGAAGAAGTCTTGCTGCTTGCTAGAAGGACTGACTTGAGGCGGATTTCCCTGGACATGCCAGATTTCACTGACATCATTCTGCAGATAGACAATATCAGACACGCAATTGCGATAGACTATGATCCTGTGGAGGGCTACATCTACTGGACTGATGATGATGTCCGGGCAATTCGTCGGGCCTACCTTGATGGATCTGGAGCACAGACTCTGGTAACCACAGAAATCAATCATCCGGATGGTATTGCTGTGGATTGGGTGGCGAGGAACCTGTACTGGACTGATACTGGAACAGACCGCATTGAAGTGACCCGGTTGAATGGAACATCAAGAAAGATCCTTATCTCAGAAAACCTAGATGAACCTCGAGCAATAGTGCTCAATCCTGTAATGGGGTAAGTTTTGTGTTTATTGGTAGCCCTGTGATTGGTGCATTTTGGGGGATGACGTGTGTATAATTTGTCAGATGTTCTGGAAATAACTAGATTTCCCTTGCTTTATCCCTTTAATACTGTGTATATAAAAAGTGATTTCTAAATAATAGTGTTCTTCAGTGAACCTATACATTGTGTGGTTGGTTATATTTTCCTTTCTCTGTGTCTTCAATGTTATCATAACTATGAAAGAATTGGTCCACTTTTAAAAACATTTTCAATAGTTTAATCTATTTAATGTTCAAACTTTAGATTGTCATCAGTGATTGTAGTTCAAGTCAACTTGTTTCCTGCAGTTGGCAAAAGTTAGTAAGTTTTTTCAAAAGCAGGACAGATCTTGACACTTGTTTGACTTGCATATTACATGCATAGGCTGTTTTCCCTCTTCTATTTTTACAGCTACATGTATTGGACGGACTGGGGTGAAAGTCCAAAGATAGAATGTGCTTATTTGGATGGCTCAGAAAGGCGAGTTCTGGTGAACACATCCCTGGGTTGGCCTAATGGCTTGGCACTGGATCTGGAAAAAGACAAGCTTTACTGGGGAGATGCAAAAACAGATAAAATTGAGGTAAGTAATAGAGCCATACTTGGGTGCATTCTTAGAAAACAAGGCCGTTCTCATGTGTTGCCTTATGTCTTGGATACATTTATGAATTCTTTGAGGAGTGTGTTGTTTCATTAATATTAACATGGTATTTAGCATAACAAGACATATTTGAGAAGAAAGGAAACACATTCATGTGGTTCAGATAACTTTTGCTAGAAATATTGTTTGTTATGTCTACATTGCTACAAGTGTATTTTAATTGCTTGAAATCTCGGGTTTTACCTGAGGCTTTTGCAACAAATTGGGACATTCAGGTACAACCTCTTCAAAAGATGTTTTGACTTGTCTGTGGTGCTTGGAACTAGTATCTAAAATTGCTGCATGTGAAAGACTTGATACAGCGTTCACGTACAGGAGAAGGTGGGTGTGTGAGCTCTAGAGAGCCACATTTCAGGACATAATGATTGTATGGTGTCCAGATAAATGGACAAGAAGTAATTTTTAATGTGCCATCTGCTCTGAAAACAATGTAGACATTGTACCTCTGAATTTGAGGAGAGGAAATCCTCTTCACAATGTTTATAAACACTTATGGTAGTATTATTTCTGAATTGTTGAAAGAATGTCTGATAGAACAGTGTGATGCCCTTATGCCCCCCTTTCTTTGGGAAGAATTTTCTTAAAAATGAAAAAAATTTGCTCTGTCTACCTATTGCTCAGACACTAGACAAATTAGGACAAATTATCTGCTCATTTGTTATGACGTGCTCCCAGGAGTTAGTGAAGTGTCTCTGGAAATTCACTGCTTTAAATGTAAAATACAGTCAAAGCCTGTACCAACCTGTACTGGTCTAGTCATGGATATTGACACTTGCACCACGGAAGCCCAGGATGTTTCAAGAGACTTTCTCCTAAAGGAGATGCCATTTTCCTGGTCGTTTTTGCATTACTATCCATGCTTGAATCTCAATCTAAAAGAGTAATTGTGCTGCCACAGAAGTGAAACGAGTCTTAGATATTGCTGCAGAAAACTGAGTCCCAAAGTAGTTTCATGTAGAGCAGAAGGTGATAAATAACTGAAAGGGTTAAAATGGAGGTTTTTAGGGCAAGGGGTTTTGGGGCTTGTAAATTTGTGTTCATTAGATTATGAGGTTACAGTGAATTATTAACAACCATATTCAACTGAGGAAATTCAGCATATTGGTAGAGCTTGATAATATTGTGATGTAGGAGGGCACATGCGTTTTGTGTAATCTAAGACTACTGTGGAACAGCCATTTTATACGTTTGTTGTGGATGTATTCATGGTGTTGTTGAAGACCTGTATATAGTAGTGGGCTTACTTGCATGAGTGTGTCCATTTAATTTGAGACAGATGAGGCTATGGATAGAGAATATGAATACAGCCAGATGTTTTGAAGAAGTCTCAAACAGTTACTTAGGACCTTGCTGTGTTCCCCACCACTCTCAATGATTAGTTTCTAATTAAAATAGTTGTTTTAAAAGTGCATCTGGTTCCTGGCCACTTGTGCTTATATTTCTAAGAAAGAAAAACTGGGTTTTGAACCTCAATCTGAAGTTGTTATAGTAAGTTATAGGGAAGCTGCAAGATGAAAAAAAGTGCACTAAGAAAATATTTAAAATAGAGGCAAATTGATCTGATGGATTGTATTTCACTTTTATTGCCCATCTTGCTATATTTGTAACCTGACAGTGCTTTCCTGCAAGATTTCTGTGTTTGAGAGGTTTTGTTGATACCCTAGATTGTCCCAGTAACCTACTCTGCTGCCCAGTACACATGAAACCTTACTGCATGGTGTATGAAGGCTTTTACTCACTGTTGAAGTTGTTCAGCATAAACTCATTCTCTCACGCATCTGTTCTGTTGCCAAGAGCATGCCATTACAGTGGCTTGCCAGCGCAGCTGGTGTCTCTGATTTGTTCTCTAAGTGTATGTATGCCTGTTGCATCCACAGTTCATTGGAAACCAAAACCAGCTGACTGCAAATTGAAGATACACATTTATTTGCTTTTTATACTCTAGTGGATCTAGCTTTAAATTAGGATTTTTCTTTTTTCCTGGTAAGCATCTAAAACTGACTTGAAGCATATTACTGGATATACTTAATCTGTGTTAACGCCTTTGTAAAATTAGCGTAAGTGATGTAGTAGATAGTAAGCTGTAACGCTATTTTGTAACTCATTAGGAAAAAAAAATGTTGATCAAGTCTCTGGTGGTTTATTCTGTTGCTACACTGCAAGGGGAGGGCTCTTTAGTCATCTAAAGTGATACTCAGATTTATATTGAGCAGTCCTGAAGGAGGAAGACTTCAACCAAATGCTTGAAGTGCCACCTTCTGAACCCCACATGGTTCAGAATGTGGTACTTCACAGCTGCACTCTCCTGCACAAGGCAAAGAAGCAACATGTGGATTCCTGCATGTTGCCTTATACATGCTGAAGATGGGAGGCCAAAAAGCTGTAGAGAGGGACAGTGGATGGGCTAGTATATTGCTCTGCATTGGTGTAGTTAAGGTGCATTATCTACTTGCATCGACTTATTTTCAGAGTAATTAGTTTCTCTTGGACTTTTGCAGTGGTGTCACTTGACAGTTTTCTCATCTAAAAACTCCAGTCCCAGATTTCCTGAAGCAACTAGAAATTTTTACTGTGAAAATTTTACTGTGAGGTTGGTGAAGCCCTGGCACAGGTTGCCCAGAGAAGCTGTGGCTGCCCCATCCCTGGCAGTGTTCAAGGCCAGGTTGGACAGGGCTTGGAGCAACCTGGTCCAGTGGAAGGTGTCCCTGCCTGTGGCAGGGGGTTGGAACTGAATGAGCTTTTAGGTCCCTTCCAACCCAAACCAGTCTGTGATTTTTATGAGTCTATTTTCCAGAGACCAAATTGCTGCAGAAGGTGTAAGCTAAAGGAGAAAATTCCCATTTCCACTGTTTTCTGCTATCCGTCTACTTTCACTTGCCTCAGGATGTCCCAGCTCACTGTGTAGAAATTGCAAAATAGAATAAGCTGAAACCATTATCTCTGCTGTTGTGCAGAGCATGGTCATACTTGAAGCCTGTCGGGGAAGAATTTGTATTGAGACTGATGGCTGATAATGTGAACAGTGAACTATGTAGCCTTTTACTGTAGCTTTCTGACAAACTTCTTGTAGCTGAGAATTACCTTCATCACAAAGCATTACTTCAGCTGCTTTCCATATATAAAAAACAAGAGTGAGCATAGCTTGTGCATGTTTGTTTGTATATCTCCGCTGTGATTTCTAGTATTTTAGATCTACAGGTAGTCTTACTCTCTCAGGGAAGGCTTGTTCATATATGAAGTTCTCAAACAGTGTCTGTTGTACAGCTTGGAAATTTGATGAGCTGGAGACGTGTCCTGTTTTTGCTGGACCTCGGGTTTGAAATGTACTGTAAATGCCTCTGGTTTAGGGTTTTTTTGTTTGTTTTGGGGATAGGTTTGTTTCGTTTCAGTAACACATTTTGACATTACTTTTGGGTGTGCTCCTTTCACAAAGGAACACTGCAGAGCTGTTGAGGGTGCCAAGCACTATCCTGTACCAGGAGACTATGTTTTATTTGTGAGGGTGAAACTTCATAGGGTAAAGACAGCAGTTTTGCTTCCCTGGCAAAAACGCCTTTCCTAACCTTTCCATCCGCAGCATTCAGCTGCAACACAAAGGGCCCAGTCACTTTGCAAGCAGTTTGCATCCTGAAGAAACCATTTGGCAAGGCTTGTCAAAATTTTGCATGATAGGAGCCTATGGGGCTTTCACTGCAAATTTGGCACCCTGTGGTAACATTGTTCCCAGGTTTGTTTTTTATTATTATTTTAATTTGTTTGGCAAAACGTACAGCAAGGAGAAACACATGAAAAATTTTGAGTCTTGTCTGTCAAAATCATGTAGTCTGCCCATACAGCTTCAGCCACAGCTAAGGGGCATGGATTAATCCAATTGAAACTCTGGATTTTACTGACAGAGAAAAGGTACTTTCCAGGAACAAACAGAGGATTAATAAGGATTACAGGGTTCCAGCAGAGAGAGAAGCAAAGACCCAATGGCACCCACGTGTAGAGTTCCCTAATTCTCCTTAAAAACAATTTTGTGGTTAGCCAGGTTTTCCATGTATTATTTCTTCAGCATTTGCTTAAAATGCCTAAGGTGTAATTACATAATGAGCAATTACTGAATTCTCAGGTGCCTGTTATTATGTATGCATTTTACTTTGTGCAGTTTTCTTGGAATCAATGTTACACAGACTATCCTTTCTGATAGCTTCCCCATGTCCTCCCCCCTTTCCCCTTTATTGACAAATGTCCTTCATTTGAGGGACAGAAGACCTGCAATTATGTACAATAATTCTTTACAAGTTTGTAGGGTATTTAAAGTATAAGTCAGCACCAGATTACAACCCTTGATGTCACTGAAAAAAAATTCCAAGATGTAGTTATGTGGGATGTCCTTGTAATTTAAGGCAACAGCCTTTAGAATTAGTTTGTCATTGATTGCATTCTGCAAAAATAATGTAAAAGGATATTTGGAACAATGTGCTACTTAAATAGGCTTTGCAGAAGTCAGTTGTAGTGGGAAGAAAAATTAACTAAAGTAATTTAAGGCTGCTTTTTCTGAACAAGCCTGAGTATACTTTACATATTACACTTTGTTTTCCAGTCAATTGACCTAAAAAATGTAGTATTTAATTTATACATGAGACATTTTCTCATAACTAATACATTTTTGTGTGCGTGTTTCAGTGGATTGACATTTTTCACCAAAGGATTAAAAAGACAGTGTAGTGTGTTAAACTACTTGGGAGGTACTCTGCACTGATTTATCGAAACAGGCGAATCTCATAGAGAGAATAACTAATTTAAAATTATCGCTACATGCTGATTAGATACAAAAAAATCAAAGCATCATTTTCTATAAATACAAGTGTATTTCAGAAGACCTAGTTTATATTTATATTAATGCAAATAATCCCCACACTGAATATTTATATTAA